GGTACAGAAATACCACCACCACCCCCTTCCCCCATTAAGCCTCCAGTCTACCTTCACTACAATGTATCTGGCACAGTGGGGCAAGACTCATAATCCCAAAGGGAAATGTTGATTTTGCAACTCCCGGCACAAAAGTTTTTCATGATTAAATTGTCTGTGATTCAACATTCTAAAATCTGGCTCCATCCAAACTGTCTTCCCAAAATCTTACCTCCGTTACTCCATGTAACTCACCTATGCCCAAGCTCACTAGTTCTGGTTGCTGTTCACTTTCTCCAGCCCTTTGCCTTTGCTCAATGCATCTCGCCACTGGAATGTTGTTCTTTCCACTTTCCACATAAAGCAGTCCTACCCATCCTTTAAAATGTGAATTCAAAGACCACGCCACCAGTCCACACCTGGCCTCTGAGCCTGGAAGTAATCACTCCCTCCTCTGATTTCATATAATACCGTATTTGCACTTCTCTTTTGGAAATTAACACTTAGACTATTACAGACTCTGCATTTGTGTACATCTCTTGTCTTCACCAACCACAGACATCTAATTCATGCATACCTCTGTATCTCCCACGGCATCTAGACCAGATCTTATACATACTATGGGTTCAAAAACAATCAGTTGATAAATGTTACACAAAGGCCTTGACACTGAAGGAGAATACGTCTCCATCTGCACTGCTTAGGCAATCTCTGTGTTTAAAGAAAACCAAAGCGGGGGAGCCTGGCTGGCTCAGTCTGTAGAGCATGCGACCCTTTATCTCAGGGTTGTACGTGCAAGCCCCACGTTGGGTGGAGAGATTACTTAAAAACAAAATCTTTAAAGAAAATCAAATCGTATTTTTCAAGTGTTCAATATCAAGTATGACAAAACCTAACTTCTTTGAATTTTAGAATTGGAAAATCAGAGGACACGAGAAGAAAACGATATTCATTTATCAGTTTAAGCAGAAAACATTTGTCAAGCTGTCAACCATCAGTCAACCCTACACGGAACACAAACACATACACAAGCAGCACCGCCAGCATTCAATAAGAGGCCTTACTTTGCGGTAGACTATCATGTTTGGAGAACTGTCCTCTGGGTCAGCAATCCCCACTGCTCTTTGATCCCCAGATCCCTGAGCCATCCCGGATGTCTTCACTCACACTGCAAAAATAAATGAATAGACCGTTAAGACATGAAAAAATTATACAAAGAAAGTCCTGCCATGCAAAGAAGTACTTTTGGCAGGTGATATGAAAATAAAACATGATAAATTTCTCATTTTTCCACATTAATTTAAGCAGTATCTTAAAAAAATATCTAGGGGATAACTGGGGTCTTGATCCACATACATTCTCCTAATCCCAAAGCAACATGTTCTTTATTTTCAGCCCAGAATCATGTACCCTAGAGGTGAGCTTATGCCGTCTTAAATAATCTCCTGAGGACAGATGAAGCCAATCATTGTGATGTTGATTTTGTCTTACCAAAGCTCACTTCTTGATTAATTCTATGCACTCAAATCTGAATATTTTACTAGGGAAATGCAGATCAAAACCACAAGGAAAGACCACTTCATACCCACTAGGACGGTCATACTAAAAGAGAAAAACCTCAAATAACAAGTGTGGCAAAGGATGTGGGGAAATCTGAACACTTGTACCTTGTTGATAGGAATGTAAAATGGTTCAGTTGCTATGAAAAAACAGTTTGGTGGTTCCTCAAAAGTTAAATATAGAATTACCATGTAACTTGAAAATTCAACTATACCCCCCAAAGAACTGAAAACAAGTATTCCAACAAATATTTGAACATAAATGTTCCCAGTAGCACTATTCACAATAGCCAAAAAATAGAAACAGCTCAGTGTCCATCAATCGATGGATAAACCAAATATCGTCTCTCCCTACAATGGAATAAAGTTCATCCGTAAAAAGTAATAAAGTGCTGATACATGCTACAACACAGATTGGTCTTGAAAACATTATGCTTAGTGAAAGAAGCCAAACACAAAGGTCACTGCAATGGACTGGACGTTTATGTTCCAACAAAATCCATATGTTGAAATCCTAACCCCTGGCTTGATGGTATTAGAAGGTAGGGCCTTTGGGAGCTGATTAGTGCCCTTATAAAAAAAGACGCCCAGAGAGCTCCCTCCCACCATATAAGGACACGGCAAGAATAAAGTCATCCATGAACCAGGAAACAGACTCTCACCACACACCAAATCTTTTGAAGCCTTGATCGCCAGAACTGTGAGAAATAAATTTCTGTTGTTTGTAAGCCAGCCAATCTAGGATATTCTGTCATAGCAGCCTGAACAGACGAAGGCAGTCACACATTGTAGGATTCCATTTACGTTAAATATCTAGAATAGGTAAATCTATCGAGACAGGAAGCAGACAGGTAGTTTCCAACAGCTGGGCAGAGGATGGAATGGGGCCACTGCTTAATGGACTTGGGATCCCCTCTGAGATAACGAAACATTTTGGAACTAGATAAAGGCGATGGATGCAGACCATTGTGAATGTATTAAATGCTACTGAAATGTATGCTTCGAAGTCGTTAATTTTAGGTTGTGTGAATTTTACCTCAATTAAGTAGAATGAATATTTTTTAATTTGACCTTTTTAAAAAGCCTCAAAAGATAACAGTGACAACATATGGAATTTTTGGGTAAAGAAGTTCAGTTCTTGGTATCACACTATATTTGCTGTGTGACTTCGCACAAGTTAAATAACCTGTTGGGTTCTCTTTGTTAACTTCCTTTTAAAACAAAATGTTGAATGCCTGCTGTGTACCCAGAACCACACCAAGGCACCTCTCTCTACACTGCTCTCATCAGTAAAATGTGAATTCTACTGAGTATTCACAGGTAAGGGTCTAATAAACTGAGTGTAAAGGTATCATATAAAGCCATAAAAGTCCTATACAAATGTTATCTCTAAGCTAAGAGCCTGCCTGGGTTATTTGCACAAAATCCATAGGCTTTTCATCAAAGAAACTTTTACAAATACCACACTTGACAGAAAAGGCCATTTCAATTTAAAATAAAAGCTCAGGAAATATTTTATTATAAAATAAGTTGGTACCAAAGGTCATTCCATAAAAACAAATTTGGGCAGAAGATGGGGAAGAGATAGGAATTTGTCATTTGTGCTAAGAATTTAAATGCCCAAAGTATACCGTTTGAATGCTGCGTGCTTTCTTTGTCATTTGTGAATTAAGACGCATTTTAAAAGTTAGATTACATGAAGAGATAAAGAACGTGCTCTTACCTCTATGTACTGTAATATCAGGGTTTCTGTGAATATAGTGTTACATGGAAAAGCTAATTATTAATTCCAATCAGTGGCTTTTAAAGTTAAATGAATAACACGCTGTTTTATTTTTAATGAACAGCTACTTATTTGCCTAGTCCTTTGCCTCAATACAGAATACGACAGAGCATGAAAAACAAAAACTGAGTCCATTTATGTATGCTCATTTATCTATGCAACAGAGGCATTTTGGGTCTCTGGCTTTATTTTTAAATGAACACTTGACTTTAATGACCATATTATCTCCCACCATAATAATGACCATATTATCTCCCTTGTTGTTATAACAACAAGGTTGGGAATGACCTAAAAACAATCCTGTTAGCCCTGCCTTCGCCTCTTCCTGGCCAATTCCCCCAACACACACACACACACGCACGCACGCACGCACAGAAACATTTCTAGTGTTATAATAGGCTGATGGTCCAAGACTAGGACTTTAGACTACCAAGTGCAGGCAGACAAGTCTCCCTATTAGGAATTTCAGTGAATCTAGTATATAGGAGAAAAACTTCTATTTTTGGTTCCTCTGGCAGCTCAATGTCATTCAACTTTTCTGTGTCTAGAAAGAATCATTGCTAAAATAATGATATAACCACTTTCAAGCCCATGCGTCAACAGATGTTAGACAAATGGGATGCAAAACCTACACAGGTAAGGATGTTCTAATTACATTCATTGACTAGGAAGCTAGGGCTCGTGACATTAAAGGGCTAGATTCTCATTCATTACAATATATGAAATATTTATTAGTTTTTTAAGTTTACTTATTTATTTTTTGAGAGAGAGAATGAGACAGCATGAGCAGGGGAGGGGCAGAGAGAAGAGGAAGGGAGAGAATCCCAAGCAGGCTCTGCACTGTCAGCACAGAGCCCGACATGGGGCTAGAACCCACAAAACATGAAATCATCACCTGAGCTGAAATCAAGCAGACACTTAACCAACTGAGCCACCTAAGCACCCCTAAAATATTTATTTTTAAATGAAATATGATAGAAATGAAATAGGAATAGTTTAAATTTCATGGTAGTGAAAACCAAAAACTTCATCTTATTTATGCTACATGTATATATGCACACAGTAAATAAGTCAGGGCCTTTTATTTTAATATTTAAAGAACGTGAATGTTTTTCAGTACAAAACTACATTTCACAAAACTACAAAACTACACAAAACTACATTTCAGTAGAAAGAAACACAAAACTACATTTCAGTAGAAAGGAAACACATTAATGATATTCTTTTCCTAAAATGGCTTACAGCTAACCAAGGGAGAAGCTAAAAACGTGTTCAGGGCTTGATTTTTGAAAACTCCGAGAAGAGACAGACAGGTAGCACAGTGGTTACAAGCTGGAGTCTGTTATCAGACAGATCCACATCCAAAATTAGTTTGCACCACTTCCAAGCAGCATGATCTGGAACAAGTTACTTCACCTCCCTGTGCCTGTGTTTCCTTATCTGTCACTATAGTCCCAGCATAGCGGAAAGCCTTCTGAACTGGGTGGCCTTGGTCTCCTACCTTGTGTGCAATTGACTAGCTGTCAGAACCAGGTCAAGTCACAACTTCCCCAGACCCCAAGTGGACAATAGCTGTAAAACCCCACATCTCCAGTATTCCTTCCAGCTCTGCCCTGGAACCTCAAAACTTTCCTTCAAATGCTCATCAGAATGTTCCGTACCACCTCTCTTTATCCTAGCCCATGTCCTCCATTTATGGCATCACTCATGCTGAGCTTGTCAAGGAGTCACCAAACTGCTGGAGTGAAGCATCCTCTCCCAGACTCAGCATCCCCAACCTTGAAGCGATTTCTGTAATACCACCACCCACCACCAGGGGCAGTGGGACTCAACATTTCTTCTTGGAGCAAACGCCCTGAGCATCCACTCGCAAGGTGGGCTGGAGATATGAAGATATGGTAGGCCCTGGAGATATAAAGATAAATCAGACACAGATGATCTCATTAAAGTGTTGAGAGTCCAGGAAGAGTGACAGACATGTCCACAGAAACAGGACGTTGTAATGTGTGGGTATTTGGTTATGCCGGCGCAGGGCAGAAGCTGGCAACTGAGATGACAGCAAAGGATGAAGAGGAGTCTGGGGGAAGCAGAAGAGGCCATTCCAGCCTAGGGGACAACACGGGCATCAAGCATGGCCACGTGAAGCCCCAGAAGCTGTAGGCACCCAAAAGAAAAAAAAACCATGAGGACTGATCTGATCTCAAGGAGATTAAATGGGACAAACGTGGAGTGAGAAATAACAGGGCTTTGCACCTCTCTTTGTTTACTTGTTTATCAGGAATCTCCTCTACTAAAGCCAGTTCTGCTTGGGCAGAGTCTTTGTTGGTGGGGTTCATCCTGCACCTAGAACAAGGTGTGGCACACCTTGTAGGTACTCAGATATTTTTAAATGAATGATGGAATTGATAAGATTCTACCAAGATGCAGCGCACTCCTTCTGGAATACCCATCCAGATAACAAGCCACTGAAACTGCCCCACAAAGAAGGCTCTTTCTTGACAAAGACCTACGGACAGAATCACACTTTTCCCCAGAATTTATTGATATGGGCCAGCCCTGAACTCAGGAATCCACTTTTGGAATCCATGAGCAATTTAGATAAGAAGGAACATGTGGGAGGATGGAAAGTATAGTGAGGAGACACCTTGTCAATAACAGAACAATTGAGTATCTATGACTCAAACTGATTAGTAAATCTTCTGCAAGTTGGGACTGCAATTTACTCCAAACTTCTATTTCAGTTGTAGCTTGCAGTTACAACAAATGCCAGCTGTTTTCCTTTGTAATGCCAGCCTCTCTGGAGTAGCCAAGACTAGGGTCCAGCAGATAACAATGCTGAGCCCAGCAGGTAGAAAGACCTCCATGATGTGGAAAAGGAAGTGGCTTTGAAGTCAGATAGGAAATAGCATCTCAGCTCTGGCCACACCAAGACTGCCTTGGCAATTGAGTACCTCCCCCCACCTTCCCCCACCTTCCAGCTCTTCACCTGGAAGGTGAGAGTCCTCTACTTTGCAGAGTTGTTTTTGAAGAGGAAATAAAATAGGGCATGCAAATTCCCTAGCGCGGAATGAACGCAGCAACTGACCAGCAGTCTGGTTTCCAGCCACTATTTGGCCAAGTGAAATTCCCAGGCCATCAGCATCAGAATCATTGGAGAAACGCTTCCCCCACCTCAGGGATTCTGAGATGGAGCCATCAGCTATTTAACAAGCTTCTCAGGTGATCCTGACGTACACCTAAGAGGCAGACCACTGCAGTGACACTCCAATGCCACCGAGATCACTGTCACATGAAGCTAAAATCCTTAAACATCCTGCCTGCCCTTCTTTGTGTCTAGCCCTCAAAACCCTATTCAGGGAAATATCTTACAAGAGAGGTAATCAAAGCCTGACTGTAACACAGTCTGAATATCTGTGCTACCAAATAAGAATTTCTGTTGATGTGATTTCCGCTCCCCCATATTGTATCAACCTCACACTGCTTCGGCCCATTAAAACCCAATGGATTTTTTTTTTTTTCTGACATCAGCAATGTTAAGCACTTTGGGGAGAAAAAAACTTTACAAGAAGTGTGCTAGCTCAGTAGTACAAGCTTGTTTACATAGCTCTAATCTGACTGAGAGGGCAGGAACCTCCAGGGGGGAGAAGAAAGAACAACGGTTCTGAAGAACAAATACTTCTTTCTGTTATAGTGGTCTGCCAATGTGACACTTCCTATACAGACGAACTCAAAGTCTAGCTGCTCAGTGACAGAGCGAGAGACGCCAAAGATCTTAAAGCAAGATGCGAGAGCTCAATCCTTAGGGGCCAATTTTGGTGAAAATGCTGGGCACCCAGGATATAATCGTTTGATCATCTCAGGACTTTGGTTAGCATTTGATGGTTCCCGAAAGCTGGTCCAAGGAATTGAACCAGACCAGCAGCCTCAGAAGCACCTGGGCTTGACTCTAAAGATCCATGTTCCTGGGTCCCAGGTGTCAGAAATTCTGATCTGGTGGGCCTACGGTGGCCCCTGGAGATTTATCATTTAAACAGTCCCCAGGTGATGTGAAAGCCCAGTCAGGTCTGGAAACCACTGCCCTAGATTCCATGGAGCCTGCCTTCTCTTCACCTAACCCCTTCACCCCATCCCATGCTGCCTACTGTCTGGGCAGCCACGTGGAGGTGGGGCTCCTTCAGACTCCCTTGTATTTAGGAAGAGACTGCACTGAAAAGAGCAAGGGTCCTGGAGTCAAAGAACAGGCTCCCAATCCTGGCCATGCCACTTAGTGCTATGTGGCCACAAACAACTTAGTTCTATGCTTACTTAGCCTCTCTGAGCCTTGGTCTCCTCATCTATAAAACGGAGTAAATGCTGATCACCGGTATCAGGGGTTCTCAGCCTTGCCTGCTCCTTAGAATCACCCGAGCAATGCGCCACAGCAACTCTTAATAGGTGGCTGTTATTATCCCCAATCTACAGATGAGAAAACTGAGGCCCAAAGTTGCCAAAAGTAAAATAGCTTGTCAACCAAGAAACTAAAATCCAAACCCAGGACCGATTCCAGTGCCCACACTTTCCAACGTGGTCTCCAGTGACATCACCTATAGAAAGAATTTAAGACACAATTTTGTGAATATATGAAATTTAAGTATATATTTAAATATAAAGTAGTTAGCACTTATATATCGCATAGGAAGTACCTAGTAGTAGGTACTTCTGGTACATAGTTCAACTGGTACTTAGTAGGTCCTCAACTGATTTGTGGTTCCTACCTTCTACTTCCTAGTGCATCAGTGAAGCTGACTTCCCCCTACCAACCCAACCTTAAGACATACAAAATAAATATAATCCTCTTTAAGTTGCCACAGCTGCCTTACAGCCTAAACAAATTTTTGTTCAAGCTGCTTATAAAGATAAATATTTTCACATTCCTTATATTAAGCAAAAGTCCCAAAAAATTAAGCTGGGAGGGAGAAGCAGAAAGTTTTTCATATAACAGGATGTGCTTGGCCTTGTGATGTGGTTCACGGTCCTATTGCTGCAATCACTGCTCAAAGTTCAGGTCCACCCAGGCATCCTCTCTCACCAGGGCTCTGGCCCCCACACTGCTCTGGACACCCCCAGACCCTGCCAACTCCCCATCCACCCTCCCTGCCTTTCTAACTCTTTTTGGGCATAAACAGTATGCCCACTATGTCCTTCTACCTTGTCTTTGAACTTTGACCTTCAGTGACCTTCATGGAAACCTGGCTTCCCCCAAGGACATCCCCTCCCCTGGAGCCCAGTTGTTCTCACTCCACGTATCTCGAACCAGGAAGTAAGGTAAGCATCGTCCCAGCTCCACATTGCTGCTTCAAGTGATTTCCCTCCTGTCTTCCTACACAAATCCCTGCTCTCGTGACACTCAGACCATCTAGCTGCGCCACTTTCTACCCAATCTCACTACTGTATCCTGCCTCCCTCCTGTGAAGCCTTCCCATTTCCCCAGGGACTCCTGCTTCTAGTTCTCAGAGGTTTTCTTCTCCATCCCTCACTCCTTCATCAATCTCAGTGACGTGAACATCAGAATCAAAGACCTATCTGGAAAGCCGGTTCCTCCATCCTTCTATTTCCCCACCTGAACCCTCTTCCTCGGCCACCGTCTCCCACGGCCACGTGCTGAACCCCATCATCAGTGTGACTGGACCACCTCACACCCCAGTTCACTTACCAGTTCTTTCCAGTTCACTTACTCTACATTCACTGCACACATTTTTCAAGCTTATTTAGACATTCAGTCCATGGGACTCACAAGCCTTTACTCCTCCTCCTCGCTCTGCCTTCACGTTTTTCTCTCACTGGTCCTTTCATTTTAGCCACTCACAGTCACACCCTTGCAAATACCCTTAACTGCCTCACTATGCTCTTTCTGTGGCAGATTTCCAGGCAAAACTCCAACGTTGACGGAACCAGAATATCCACCACACAATATCCATATAATATCTGAAGACCCAAGCTCACACCCAAGCAGGTATGCTCTTTGTGGCGGGAATGAGAAAGAAATCACACAACCAGACCGACTGGCTGCATTTTAAATGCATGAGCACAAGCTTCAAATTTCATCAACACTGCCCATTAAATCTAGATGTTTTCCTACCGAGTTTGCTCTCTGTTTGTCTCAAGTGGCCATCCCATACCTTATCTTTGTTCAAGCTGCACACGCTGTTGATGGGCTCACTTCAAAATTCATTGAAGAAATGGAAGCCAGCAGAAGGCAAATCTCTCAACTTCGGGCACCCTCACCTAACCCACCATGTTCTTTGTCTTCCCTCCTGCTGCAATAGAGGACATGTTGCTGTATTTACTAGAATGAAGTCACTCCACTCTTGCTTTTGATTGGAAGATGACAGCACATACCTCCTTACTCACCCCCTACCACCACACGGGTGAATGGGGCTCCAGTATAACAACAGATTACAGCTCAAACACCTCCAAGACACAAACTCTCTGAAGACTCATTTGAAGTCAAGAAAGGAGACAAAAACAAGAACACGAGGGGAATCTGAAGTTTCTAGCAGCTACAGCTGTAGCAAACATTAAACACAGCTCAACTCTTGGCCAATTTAAATAAAATCTCACACTCAAGGCCCAGTTACCTTAATTCCCATTACCAGATATACCATGTTTGGCTTTTGACAAGACAATTACAAGGCACACAAAAGGCAAGAAAAGACACAATCTGAAAGGACAACCAATCATCAGAACCAGATTCAGGACACAGATGTTGAAGTTATCAGACAAGAAATTTTTTAAAACTATGATTAAGTATGTTGCGGGTTCTAATAGACAATGTAGATAGTAATGAAAGCAGAGAGATAGAAACTCTTTAGAAAAAAAA